TACAGATTGATTGGAAAAGACAGCACAGTTCGGTGACGGGGAGGGAGGGGGCATTTTGCACTTTGTTTCATTAGTTCCGCTACGCGAGTCTCACTCAGGTGCTGAGCAAGCTCATTGAGCTACCATAGTAAACGGCATTTGTACAGTACTTCAGTGCTTCACAGTTGTAGGGACCGGGAGTTGACAAGTGGTCCCTACAATCTTTGACTTATATTTATTTTATAGCTTCAAAAGATTCCACAGGTATCATTTTAAGGGCTCGACACGCCGATGGGAAGTGGCAAGAGTGCAAAATTCCCCCCCCCCCTACCCCTCCCCAATCGCCGAACATATGACTCTTAAAGTTTTAAACACCTCCGAGAGGAAGGCTAAACATAATGAGCTTACCTCATTGATGTCAGTAACGGCCTGATGGAACACAAACTGGCGGAACATTGGGTCTTTTTGACATAATTGTCGTTCCCGATCAGGATCGAAAATCCACTTCCGCAAAATCAGACATGAGGATGATGCACAGGAATAGTTTTGAATGTAGAGCTGATGCGGTGATTCACCATCAAGTAGTTTACGCTCTGAAACATCAGGGAATCGGAATGAAATCAAACGAACAAATCGGAACAAAATCACAACCACTTAAAGAAAGTCCAGAGGGAATTTCGATAAGGCTCAATTCAACCTCGAAGCGAGATCGGGTTCGGGGCAAGTTCTTACGGCAAATCTAGCTGCGGCGCAGTTCGGCTTGGTGAGGGCAAGAAAAGTTTCCAGTGAAGCTTATAAAGGTCACCTCGAGAGGACCCGTTAAACATTCTGACCAGAAATGCTTACTCGCACCATTTCGTTTTTAATGTGCCACCAAATGTGACCTAGAGTAGAGAGATAGTTAGAGTGAAAACACAAAGGGAACTAGAGAAAGTGCAAACTACCCCTCTCTCTCTCTTCCCTTCTAGGCCGAACAGTGCCACACCTGCTAACCATGAGCTGGCAGCAAACATCAAAATAGGGGTATCAATCACCCTTCTCCGCTTTCAAGTGTAAAACTCTTCTATTTGCTTCCAAAAGCTAGAGGATCTAGCGCGACCGTATTGCCCCACTTGAACACCGAACTTAGTGTTGAGGCCTCCTCGAGGGCAATCTAGCACGACAATGAAGGTGGTGGAGAAGACACCAATACGGAAAGTCGAAGCCGTGCGTGACTGAAAGGAGGGAACAGTGATTACGCACGCAAATTA